GGGCGGCCGCCCCGCCATGAAGAGCCCGCGCGAGGCCGCCGAGCCGCCGCCAGGTCAGCGCGGCCGCCCGCGGACGGGAGGCGAGGGGACGGGAAGGGAGAGCCCGGCGGGGCGAGCGGGAGCCGCGGGTGCGGGACGGAGCGCGGAAAACGCCCCGAAAACGCTCGGAGGCTCCGCGCTGTCATTTGGAGGCCAAATGCTGTCATTTGGGAGCTGCGGTGAGCAGGAACTGCTCACAAATTACAGTCCCTGAGGGAGAAGACACGCCTGTAGGAAAGGCTCAGCTCCAGGGGGCTTGGGAGGGAGGCCTGGAGACTTTGAGTGCGTCTTAACCCCTCTTTATGGCACAGAACGACGTTCAGAGGCCGCCTGGGACTGTGCCTTATCCGCCAGTTCAGCTCGTACATTCGGTTTTGGAGCTAGGGGGGGTGGATTATGTCACCACCACCAAAAAGTGTAAAATGCTGCACAGGGATCCAAAGGTGTAACAGTAATACCAGATTACACCAGAGACTTGATGGTTAATTGAGCTCCACAGGAATACGAAACAAACCTACATCCTCCTAGCAAAAAGGACCTGCTCATCAGGTGAAATGCAACCCGAAAAAGCTCAGAGATTTCCCCTGCTATAGTGCTTAGCTGACGAGTAAAAAAGCAGATTGTTTTTTAATGCTGAGGTATGGGAAAACACGTTTATACAGAGAGGCATTTTTGCTGTTTCACTAAAAACACATATTTAGAGAGAGGCATTTTTGCTGTTTTACCAAGCGTTGCTTCCATTGCAGTGGACTGTGTGCAGCTCCAAGTGCCGGTCATCCAGCAGCTCTACCACTGGGACTGCGGGCTGGCCTGCTCCAGGATGGTTCTGCAGTAAGTAGCTGCTCCGCCTTCCAGGTGGTGGAAATCCCATCCCATGGGAGCGAGGGAGAGCAGACACCAGTGTCCGTGGAGAGAGGGTGTGTGGAAACGCCTGCGAGTTTAACTCTCCCAGTCCTGGGAGAGCGCAGGGGCTCTGGTGCCTTGGATCATTCCTGCTGCCAGGGGCTAGGCACAGCTCTAAGCCAGAACTAGGGAAAATACAAGCAAACAAGGCGTTTTGAATAATTAAATGCTTTGAGCAATGCATTGTATCTCACCAGCACTAAGAACTTTGCAGACTGGCATGCTTAAGTTAATAAAAAGTTATCTGGCTTTCCTGTTATAATGTGGAACTTGCACTTACCACAGCAATTCCCGTTGTTTTCAAGTGACTGGTAGGTTTATCCCCTATTTGTGAGTATATATTGCCCCTGTCTTGTTGAATCCCCCTCTGTAGGCTGAAGGTTTTCTGTTTCAGGAGTGGTTTTAACTTCAAGGCTGTGCACTGTATTGCCCTTTTATTTTTTTTTTTTCTTGAAACTAGTAGCTGTCCTGCTGAACTCCTCTTTCCTTCCACAGAGGAACATGAGCTTAGGTGCAGGAGAAATACCTATTTAGATGTCCACTTAGTAGCTATGAAGCAGAAGATTTTCATTTCTCTCCATCCCTACTGCCAAGACGTTAGTCCGTGTGCTGGTAATTTCCCATCTTGACTACTGTAACCTCTCCCTCTTCATTCCCTCTACCCTTGTTGCCATTCTGGTCTAAACAAAGGTCAGCTTCCAAGATTAATCTTCTTACTCTGCTTCCTTAATTCCAGTCTTTTTTTTTTCCTCTCATCTATTCCCATCTGTTTTCTGACTTCCAGAATTCTCTATAACTTCCTTTCCCCAGCCCCTTACAACCTAAGCTTGCTCCTGACTTTATCTGCCTTTTCTTCCATCAACGCCCAAGAATATTGCTTTAAATATTTACCAACTGCCTTTACAGCTCCTTCTTTTGAAATCTACCTATTCTGTGAAGCAAGTAGTAGCCTTTAACACCCCCATGTTTGCTGTTATGTTGCTGTTATGTAATATAAATTATAACCCCTTCAGAATAGAGTTCTCCACTTTCTCAGTATAGCTTATTCGTCATACAGCATCCTGTATAATTTTAGCACTGTAAAACAATTGAGATACCTGTACATTTCCAGTAAAAAAGTCAACGATAAAGCCAGCTCAATATTCCCTATTCCCTTTCCTCCCTGTAAATGTGTGCTCATTTGTGGGTTGTTTTTTGGGGTTATTTCCTAGCCAGCCCTGTTGTTTCAGTTCTTCCATCCTGTGATGTGGAGGCTTGGGCTGCTGCAGGCACTTTGCTTCTCCTAAGAACTGTGCATCCTTTCCCCTGCCTCTTCTACCACCCTAGGTACCTGAACCACCTGGACAACGATGAATTCCAGAAAGCCATCCATGAACTCCGGTTAACAAAGAGCATCTGGACCATCGACCTGGCCTACCTGATGCGGCACTTTGGTGTTAAGCATAAATTTTGCACCCAGACGCTTGGAGTGGACAAGGGCTACAAAAACCAGGTTAGCCTTATTATTCACTGGGAAATACCACAGTATTTCAGAAGCCATCACCAAGGTGGCCAAGGAGCACCTATTCTGGCAGTAGATTTTCTAGCGCAGGTTCCTGCCCGGAACAAGCCAGACCACTTTCCTTCATGCAGGCAGCTGAGGGAGGGAGATGATAACTACAGGAATCTATTTGAGCTGATGATTTAGAGCAGAAAATCTTAGCCTATTATCAGAGAACGAAAGCAGAGACCTCTTATCACATAACCAGATTTTTAATTTATGAAGGCCATTGCTAGCAGGGATTAACTAGATTAGGCAGAACTTCACCCTAGTTTGTCATTCTCTCCACAGTCATTCTACAGGAAGCACTTTGACACAGAAGAGAATCGAGTGAATCAGCTGTTTGCACAAGCCAAAGCCTGCAAGGTGCTGGTGGAGAAGTGGTAAGCTTATCCTTTTCTCTCCTTTCTCTTCGGAGAGGGTGGGCGTGATGCCTTCCTTGGAATCATCAAGTTAAATGGGTATAAGAACCTTCCTGTGAATCGGAGTATTTTTAGTATGTCTCTCTCAAAAGAGTGTACGTCTAGGTAAAATCATGATGTTTGAGGAAAAAGACAGTCATGAAACCAAATGGTGATTGGAATTTGCTGACAAGACTTGACTATTTAAATTTGATTTTCCATTAAGATAACCCACCAGGGAGTGCCTGTGGTGCTCTAACGGGTCACCGATAAGGCCTGCTGTCCTTGGAAGGCTGGCAAAAGCTCTGTGCACATAAACCCCATTGTTCCCTGCTGCTCCACAAACATTAGAGATCTCTGGCCCGAGACCGAGAGGCAAGGGAAAAGCAGACAGGTGAGCTTTTGCCAAGGGAAGCGTGAAATAAGAGAACTGCAAACCTAGGAGAAGCAGAAAAATTGCAGAACTGTTTCACAATTTGTAGCTGATAGTGATAGGGAATAATTGCTCAATACACTTTTGTTTGTTTGAATTTAGTTTGGATTTGTTTTCAAAGTGGGAGAGGGATTATGAGAGGGGCACAGAGCAGCCCAGTATAACTCGAATGCTGCAAAGCACCTCACATTCACAGAATCATTAGTGTCTTTTAACTTAGTCTGCACAGCCCCATCTGTTTACCTAGAGCTGTGACCAGAGAGAAGACCCAGGCAGGTCCTCTTTCTTTAGAAATCTTAATATGGTGACCTTGACCTAGGCAGGGACAGAGTTCACACTCACGGCTCAAGCTGGGGCATCAGAGAAGAGAAGCAGCACTGGAAAAGATGAAGCAGCACATCTATCAGGCACAGCATCCATACCTACCCAAGAGAGGAATTCCAATGCATATGGAATATACCATCAGCTGTAACACACAAAACTATGGATTATATTTGGTTAATATTAATTTTCTGGAAGAGGTCTAATAGAAATACATACTTAAAAGGACAGGGAATCAGGTAGCCCTAACTTAAAACTGGGAGAGAGACTTAGGTAACAGAAGCAAGTTTGGGTACACGCTACTGATTAGTGTAAGATCTTTAAATATAAGATCTTTAACTACTTAGCCAATAAATATTTTGTGCTTCAGATACAAAGACTTCTAATGTTTTAGGAGCATGAGAAGACTTTTGATTTTCCCACATCACAATTCTTTCAGTTACTGAATGGGTTGCCAGCTCTTTTAACGCTCTTCTCCAGGGCATCTAATACATTCTGAGATTACATTTGTATTAGTGCAGAACTAAGAGCTGTTGTTCTGCACTTCAGTGGCAGCAATGGGATTAAAAGGCCTTAAAGGACATAGGTTTTGTCTCCTACAAAGCCTTCAGGATTTAACAGCAGAGCTGTACCTGTCCCATGTGAAAATAACCATGTCAGCTGCACGTCATAAATACTGTCCTGCCACACACACACTACTAATACTCCACACACATTACTAATACTTGCCTTTTTCCTGAGCTGTTCAGAAATGTGTGATTTTTTCTTTTCTGCAGCACAGTAACTGTTCAAGACATCCAAAAACATCTGTCCCAAGGTCACGTAGCCATCGTCCTGGTGAACGCAGTTCTGCTGCTGTGTGACCTTTGCTCGAGCCCTGTCAAATACTGCTGCTTCCTCCCCATTGGGCAGAAATGCTTCTGCAGGAATCCCGACTACCAGGGCCACTTCATCGTGTTGTGTGGCTACAACAAAGCCTCAGGGAGTATTTACTACAACAACCCAGCCTACGCAGACCGTGAGTAGCTCAGTCCTGCTTCCTTCTGGCATCTCCTTTAGTAACCTCGTTACCAGAAGTCAGTAATGAGGCAGCTGGATCTTCTGTAGCAGCATGCGTGCATTTCGAGCATCACTGACCAGTGGTCATAAGCTCTTTTGCCACATGCACTGATCCTGTGCTGAGCACTGCCTTTGAGAGGAGAAGAACTAAATAGGTCTTCAGCTGAGTAAAGCTGATAGGTGAAGTCCACGTGAAGCTACTTTTCTTTGTAGAAGCTGCTAGAGCCAGTGTAGGAGCCTTTCCATCAGCAACTGACTTTGTACTAATACTCTGTTCCTCCTCAACAGGAACATGCAGCACCAGCATCAGTAACTTTGAGGAAGCCAGGACAAGTTACGGCACAGATGAGGATATTCTCTTTATCTACACAGACAGCTGACACCCTCAGCTGGTGCTTCCAGGCATTTCTGGTGCAGCCTGCGTGGCAGCTGGCTGCTCATCTCAGGACTCCCCCTGCACAGACCTTGCTTCTGAACTGCAGTGGGATCATATGCAAGGGAGGCTTTATAGACATTGCTAGGACTATACTGCAGTGCTGTCTTCACCTTTTTATTCCTGATGAAATACCTGATTTTGCAATGTGTGTCACACTTCTCCCCATTTTTAATATGGCATATTTGACAGCAGTTTTAAAATGCAGGCCCAGAGTCTGTTGGCTTTAAGACTATTTTCAAATTAAACACATGGAGAAAAAAGCAACAAGCTTATGAACTTACACACTTAGGCAGATGTGCATAGATTTAGGTAAACAAAACCAACAAAAACGGCAAATACCCATTTTTCCTCTTTCCTTCAAAACATAAGGGCTGATCTTCATTCTATACCTAGATATTTGAGGTTCAGCAGGATATTTTGGAAGGAAAAATATTAAGTCAACAAAATAGTCTCACTATTTAGAAGTCAACACTGCCTACACTGTAGGAATGAAACACTTTCACTCGAGGAAATTTCCCACTTACTAAATTCACCTTACACAGCTTTAGCGTTTATGGCACTGAATGAAGTTTTGAAATGTAGCTATGGGTACTGTTCCCTTGCACTACGTTCTTAGTCTCATTTGTGACCACTTCCTCTAGGAGTGATGGCCCCGAGCTCTGTGTTATCCCAAAAGTTGAGGTGAGGATATTTTATTCAGACTGAAGAGTCTTTATGAGTCTTTGTGAGAACTTCTGTACATTATGCCAACTACACGTGCCAGTTTTTACACTATCCAAAATACAAACTGATTAAACACAGAAAATTATCCACCACACACTAATGACACATTTTATGAGTTATTTTTAAACATGTGATAGAAGAGAGATTGGACTATGTAACTAAAAGCTGAAAAAACTGCGTTGTAATTTGAGGCCAAACTCTACTGTTGCTGTTAATTTTGTGACCTTCGAAGGAGAGAAAAACTCATGAAAAAAAGAAGGATTATTGTCTTTTCTCAGCTCAAGTAAAAAAAGCAGGAACTCAGATTTTTAGCTTTTCTTACACTGCAGCTGTATTTGGATTAAACTGCAGTTACTCATTGTGCCAGACATTTCCTAGTTAAATTATTAGCCCATTTACAGTCTTTTCTTGTATTACCTTCATTTCCTTGTTTTGAGGAAGAGCACTGTAAAGTGCAGGAAATATTCACCTACTTCAGACTTACTTCCACAATCTCCTACATGTGTCTTCAGTCCTACCTATGTTAAAGCAGGTAGAAAAAAACAGACATTATTACTAAATTCAAGCTAGCCAAGTTTTGTTTACACTAAAGCAAGAAATCCCACAGCTTTGCCATGGTTTTAAGAATAGAACTCTGAAATAACAACAAAAAGACACTGCTGATTAATGGTGAAAATAATAAATAGGAATCTCTATTTCCAGCATGCTAAAAAGATAATATTTGTAAAAGGAAACATCATCATCTATCAGTTGTTCACTTACTGAGAAGTAACCTGAGGAGGAGCTTAAGAGGCTAAAAAAGTAGTATCAGGTATTTAAAGTGCAACAGCCTTTAAGAAGTTTTAAACAAAGGCACATGGCAAGAAACTTGCTGGGTATCTGATTCTGCTTCTTGTTGTCTAAGTTGGAATACATTCTGGAACTTGTATATCCAGGATGAGCAAGAATTACGGTGTGATTTGTGAACAGTAGAAGCAGAATACTAGTGCCATTGCTGACATCCCAGGAAAAGATGAGAGTCCAAAAGCTCTCCCAGCTTCTCACTCTTCCAAAACAAGCCACCAGCACACTGCTGATTTGGGAAATTGTTACGTCCAAGGCCAACTTCACGATGTTTGATTTAGAGAGATTCTGTTAGCTATGTTACTCATTAACAGATGGGTAAACTACAGGCTGTTACTCCCTTAACACATCCAGTTTCAGTCAGTTAATTTATTCAATACCATTCAACTGCCATAGGATTTATTTTTAAGAGTGAACTTGGTTTAGCTAAATAAACAGTTCTTATAAAAGGTTCAGAACTGTTTTGCCCCTTCCTGGATTCAGTTATCCAGATGTAAATGCTGAACTGTACAAAAAGATGAGGATTGTGCCAAATGGTCTGAAATGCACGTTATTGACTGTTAAGCAGTTGGTACCCAGGATTCAAATAGGTCAACAGAAGTGAAACATGAAAAGCCAGTTAAGCTAATAAAGACAAAACTAGGATTTCTACCCACTGCAAAAGGATTTCTTATGGCCAGATGGAAAATATTTATGAGAGATGAAAATAGCAGGGAAAGGAAAAAGCCAACTTAAAAACAATACCGAGTATTTACATGACTCCGATTAAAAGAAAACTCACTGAGCGAATACTCAGAACATTGACATTTTTGGAAATTTTGTTCTTCATGACGAGATTGCTTATGAAAATGCTCATTCGGAGAATGTTTTGTCTGTCACTTTGTTTCCTTCATTATGTCCATAGCAAAGAAAGGGATATTTTACGTGCAGGATTTTATACATAAATATATTTTTATTTGTAATTAAGCCATTCTCAATAAAGGTTGAGTAGTAGATAACCCTGTAGCATAATGTAGTATTTGCATTTATTAACTGGTTTACTATGCAAAAAAGTTGAAAGATCTTTACAGGAAGTGTTCTAAACTAAGAAGTGACCCAGCTGAACCTAATTTGGAATTCTTTAAATATCTCTTTCAGCTACTCTATTCAGAGTTTTTGACCTATAATTTGTATTCCTAATGTTCTTTCTGAATACCTACAACATCACTGCAACTAAACAAAACAAAATTCAATATACACTGTAACTTCAAGCAATCCTTGTTAGCTATGTGTGACAGCTATTCCATATACTCCACAACCACTGAGCAGCAGGAAGGGGTTTTCATGCTTCATTCTGAGCTGATTCCTCATTGTGTCTCTGTGGCTTTCTGTTTGCAATGAAACGCATGCAATTGTGCCAGCCTAGTCCAAGCTGTTCAGCCAGTATCTGCATTTCTGCCTCCCAATGTAGCACTGACCTGGAGATGTGAAAAGCAAGCCTCTCCAGCACGGCTTCTGGACCTGAAAAAGCCCTTCAGAGGCTGCCTTTGCAGTTGTGATTGTAATGCGTAGGGTAAAGAAAAATAAAAAGACCAAAGCAGTCTTTATATATGGAAGCCTTCAGGGGTTGGTAATTACAAATAAAATGGTTGGTAATTAAGAAGAAGAAAAAAATCATCTCCCTTCCTCACTCCCCTTAAATTAAGGCACCTGAGTGAAGAGAAAGAACTGGAAATCACAAGGAGGTAAACATACGCTATGCAATAAATTAAGAAGCTTAGATAAGCATTTTCATGTCTGAAGTCATCCCTTCCATCAAACTACATAGTCTATACACAGCACCAGAAAAAACACCCCACAATTTTGTATCCATGTATTGTTCACTTGTTTCCAGTCTTCAGTTTTACTGCACTAGAAATATTACATTAGTGTCAACAGGAAAAAAGAAAAAGAACGAAAACTCAAGAAGCCATTTTAAATTATTTTACTTAACACAGTTTTGAATTCTGTTATTTAAAAGTGGTTACAAGAAATCAAAGAGATATTAAAACAGCAACTTGTGATCCACAATAAATCTTTCATCCGATAGTACCTTTTAATTTGTGTTGAGATATCTTCTAGGACTTATTCCCTGATTATATTGGGTATGAATTCAGGCTGCACTGCATCACTGAGCTCTTCTGCATACATTTCATATCTACCAGTCATCTGGAAAAAAAAATCACAGCTTTAATTCTGCTTTTGAGCTATGAAAGTGTCTCAGCAGAAAATACTCATGCCAACAATTTTTTGGTTTGCCCGAACAGCAAAATCGTAATTCACTCAACATGCAAGAGTTTCAGTGCCTTAGCACAAACTATTTTACTTTCACAGAACTAAACTCGTGCTGCTAAAGCTATACGTTTACCCCGCAAACAGCAGAAGGTCATTTCCACTCTGAAAAGTGAAAGTTTTAAATGACCATCCTTCTGTCTAGCAGTTCTCCTTTGTAAGCAGAGTCGTATTTGACGACTAATAATGGCTTAAAACTTATAATGGCTTATTCTGATTATCCTAGACACAAGCTGCATGTGAAAGCTGGATTTTCTCTCTTGTGTATCAGCAAAATTCCCTTTTAAATCAGTTATGCCAGGGAAGGCAAACGATTTTAACCTCTAATTACGCCTTCAAATTATCTCCTCGACCTGAATTGTCTGCCCTGTTGCGATACCTCTGTGAGTGGTTTGTGTTCCCTGGGTTCTCAAGAGCAGGGGATCAAGCCTACTGCCCGCCACAGGTTTGCAGAGGTGTCGGTGGTGGTATTTGGGCTGCAGCCACTTTATCCATTAATAGTACAAAATATTATTACTGCTGTATGGTATTACAGTAAGCTAATAAGCTGAATGATAGCTTTCTTCTTCCTAAGGGGACAGTCTGCAAGGCTGACTCCATGAACTGCTTCTTTCTTACCTGAGTATACCTTAAAAATAATTCAAACAATTAATTTAACAATTTGTTAACTCCTCTGCTGCTGATAAATTTATGGCAAACATTCATCTAATGTCCTCTTTAGGTGCCACTGGATGCAAATAGCAAATATTGTAGCAGGTTAAATAGGTCTCTACCTGCTATCAAGGTTTTTCTCCAAGGGGTAAATTAGACTTCATGGTTCCTCACTACCCTAATTTCAAGAACTACCTCTGTCTGGGCCACAAGTGAGAAGAAAAGGAAATAAATATTTCCTGCTGTATAAACAAAAGCCACAGTCATCTACCCCTTCCAAGCAAAACGGTAAAGTGCTGAAAACACAAGACTGAAGACAACACAAATAAACAGAATTTTATACAAAACAGCTAACAGTCAGCTTAGCTTGCACTGTTTGTTTTCCCTACACAATACAATTGCTTTTGTTTGAATGCCCCTACTAAGCTGCTACAGGCAATGCTCCATCTGCTTCCTGACACATTACCCACCTCTACATTCTACAAAAAGGACCTCAGATTTCAGCACTAAGGCAGAATTAAATGACTGCTCGTCTTAAAAAGACAAAGGATCTCCTGGCAGAACTTAAGTTCACTACTTTAATAGCCTTATCACAAGTCCTGCAAAAAATAAATGATATTCTGTAGAGACTAATTTTTTTTGGGATTAGTCATCATATATTGTTTGCAGCATTAACAAAGAAATTCAACTTTAACTAGGAAACGACCATGTTCTAGTCCAGTTTTGGTTAAGAGTTAGCATTTCAAACCCTCATAAAACTTTTATTTTTGTATCAAATTGAAATCAGAACACTAATTAAACACTGCTCAGTAACATAATGCATGAAGTGGTTCCAGATAAAATAGCTCTATAAAAGAAGTGTCTCTGTTTGGAGTAACATTATGTACAAAATTTAAGACTCATTAAAAAGGACCGATCATTTCAGAAACTAGCAATATCACTGAAGAAACTACATATATTTAATAGTTGCTAGCCAGGAGCTTTAGTCTTTTTAATTTTTGTTAGGATCCAGTGTTGTACTAGCATCATGTTTGCAGGGTCTGCTGAAAACTTGACCAGATTGAAATAAGAAAATAGTTTCAGATTCTTTTGAAATCTTCATCTCCACTAAACCAGTATATAACATAGTCCCAAGACAACTGCACCAGCTCCACTGAAGGGTTCACAGACTGCAGTGCTGAAGTGGCAACTTCTTAAAAGCTGCTGCTGAACTAACTGTATCAAATTACACCCTCAGGAAAGATGATCCAAATTAGTTTTGGCTGAGAATTAAAAAAAAAAAAAAAAAGGTTAAAGCCTTTTTAAGGGGCTTGTAGTCACCTAAATCTAGTTTAACAAAATTGAGAAGTAAGTTAGGATGCTTCAGAGATGAATATAGATGCTTCTTTGTGGCTTCAACAAGTCACGGAATTCAGAAAGCTGACTGCAAGAAGTTCACATTCAGAAAGCTCCTATAAGCAAAGCAATTTTAGATTCTTGGGGTTTGGATTTAAAAAAAAAAATAAATTCCAAAAATATATATATTTTTATATATAAATATATATATATAATTATGTAAATTATATACACATGATTATATATATAATATATATATATCACTGATATATAACACTGATATATATATATATATATATATATATATATATATCAGTGTTAGGTTAGTAGGTTAGACCTAGTCACAACTCAGCAATAAATGGTGTAGGAACAGAGTACAAGAACCCCATACAAAATGACACTTCCCTTACTGATCCCTCAGCTTTGTGGCTATCAACACTTTGGAAACAAAGGCCCAGTTTTTCACGTAAAAGTTAATGTCCTAGATTCCATGAACGTGCCTACCCATTTGTGCCTTTAACCTCCAGAAAATCCTGTTAATTTCAAAATTTAGTTCTGTTTGCTAAGCAAAGGCTTCCTTTTAGCTGTTGCAACATTATATGATTATGAAAACTGTTTGATCTAGTGTCATATGCAAGTTGGTCTTAAAAATATGGGCTGTTTCTTTATAATCAGGCTTACCTTAAAATTCCATTTGTCACTGACTTGCCTGCAAAGATTTAAATCCATCTCTACCACCAGAAGTCCATCCATGGTACGTGACAGTCCTGGGGTTCTACTGCCATCTGGTGCAGCTACGTAGCTTGAGCCATAAAAATGCCCCAAGTCGTGGTGCGCTGAACGAAATTTTAAAAAAGCATATAACATCATCCATTAATATATACACAACTTAACATGCATTTTCCTGTAACATGTAGTTCACAACATCACCGGTTAGTGCACTCCCTGTACTTTAAGCAAGATGCTTACCTAAAGAGTCACATTATGATCCTAGGGCAACTGCAGCTTTAAGCTATTTGTTAAATTTCTTTAGCTTTCACAAATATCCAAAATATTTTTAAAAGTTTTAACTTATGTATTATTTTGTTTTCTCATTACTAAGTCTGTATGTAAGAAAATGGCTTTGATTCCTTTTTTATTTAATTAGAAATTAAAGAATGCTAACTGCCATGTTTTTCCAAAGCAGCTAAAAGATAATGCACATTCAATGCTCAACGTAAGATCAGAGTTGAAAACAGTAGGATCTAAAGCAGGTGAAAAGCTAACTTAAAATTGCACAATACAGAACAGCAGTCCCAATTACCCTAGCACTGACTACAATAGCTGCCTTGGCACAGTCTCAGGAAGCAGAGCTAACATTTCTTTGGAACTTCCCAGTCAGCAATTAGCAACATGATTTCT